TCGGCAATTTAGAAACTTTTTTTAAAACCGAAAGATACCCTTTCTTTAAGTACAAAATTTGAAAAAGGCGTACTTTACTACCAAACGAGTACAAGAAATGATTTTTCCGTTCATATTTTCTATAAAATATATTTGAATTTATAAGGGCAGTCAAAATCGATGACAAAAAAGGCATACTATTTAAGTAGTGACTTTTTATAGTACGCACCTTTTCTTGGCGGTCAGAAAGAAGCTCTTTAAAAAGCCGGCATCCTGAGGTGTCCAAACAATGTTGAGATTAGGCTGTACGATCGTCTCTATAACAACCATTGGCAATTAATATGTTCCAATCAAAAACTCATTTCAGAATTCCGGGTGATATTTAATGAGATGGGGAATCTACTGTATACGTATGCTCACCACCTACTCTTCAGAATTTTCTGATGGGAATTTTCGAAATTTTAAAACTGATAACCTCATGATAAAAGACATGCATGTTATCATTATCTAATGTCATAGTTTTAGCACATATTTCCTTTTTAATTCGCATAAAATTAGCACATTTTGCATATTTCTAAAATTTGTTGAACAACATGTTACGGGCAACGGACTCACTGCGATCCTTGACCAGTCCAAAACAAAGACCATGTGACAACTACCAATGTGTATATATGATACTGGAATTGGGGTGTTCATCCGATCTATCTGATTAGGGCATATACTTGTCCCGGAAGTGCCTTGAGGCTCGTAACTGAGCGATATCAGGCTGTTGCTTAGCGACCTCAGACATATAATGGAGTGAGATCATTCAAGTACGAGCCTCAAGGCACTTCCGGGACAAGTATATGCCCTAAACAGATAAATCGGATAAACACCCCAGTTCCATCATATTCACGATCAAAACTGACAAAGCCGCGAGCCCGTAGTGCAATGGTAGAATGGTAAACTCGATGACCAAATGCCTCGGGTTCGAATCTCGGGAGTTCCGACCCCTGAGATTGGGTATGACTGGCTGATGATGGCTCAAAAGCCAGAAATGGCCATTCCAGTCTCCTTTTAGTGCATGTTTTGCTTTTATGTCAGCACTGGTACGAGCCTAACGCTCACATAAACGTCTTTTTTCGATATTCTACAGCTGTTAGGGTTCTGACTCATCAACGGGTTCTCCAGCTTTCCCGATGGGTTTCTTTGTAGACACCTCCGGCCGTAATTGTCGCCTTTAAATCCCCTCCAAAATGAATGTGCTATCTTTTAGAAAATTCTGTGCAATGTACCCTAATTCTGAAGAAATTTCTACAAGTTAGCACAGAAAAGCGGAAACAAATAGATATTTTGGTTTGTTTGAGTTCACTAACCTACAAAAGATAAAACAGCCGCGACAGAACAAAGGCATCCTGGTTGCTGGACCTGATAAAGGAACGGGTATCGTTATGATGAACAGATCGAACTATGTAAGGAAGATGCAAACTGTCTTTTCAGATCAGACGAAATTGAGGAAAGCAGAGAAGGAAAAAGATTGTTGCAAGGACGAAATAGAGACACGTCTGACTGACTGCTTAAGAAGATTCCACACTGGAGGTTTCATCAGCGACCGCGACCTCGAAAGCCTTCGACAAGTAAGCACTCACATTCCCGTTTGTATGATACACTAAAGATCCATAAGAATGGCTGGCCAGTTCGTCCGATTCTGGACATGCGCAACTCACTGTGTAATGCGATAGTGAAGTGCTTAGCAGAGAAACTCAAATCTTTGCAGCATCAGCTGGTACCATGAAGCTATCAAGACACGTTAGAATTTACCGACGATGTCAAAAACGTGAACCTAAGTGGCATGAGGACGCTCCCTTTAGACGTCTCATCGCTGTTTACAAACGTCCCGGTTATCGAGACAGTCGATTACGTTTGCGAATACCTAGTGGTAAATCAGCCGGAAATAGGAATACCGATAAATGCACTGAAGAAATTACTACCACCAAACTAGTCTTCTAAACTCAAGGCTAACAAGAAATGCAGCGGGAAATCATATATTTTCATTTGCAGGCCAGTAAATGCACACAGTGCAAATCCTGAAGTACAACATCAACCACCCAATCGGTCACAAACGCAGCTACGTAAGAGCGCTTTACCGGCGCGTTGAGAAGCATTGCAGCGAAGCAGAAGACATCGTCGCTGAAGTACAACATCTTCGGCAGATACTGAGAGCGAAGGGATACCCGCGCAATTTTTCAACCAATGCATAGGCAAACGAGAGAAGCAGCCACATCCAACTGGCCCAAAAGATTTGAGACCGCTTCCGTATGGAAAGAATGTATCGGAAGTGGTCAGCCGTCTACTCACCCCACTTGAAGTTGAAGTTACGCACAGGCCAGAAGCAACCATAAGGCGCCGGGTCATGAGACCGAAAGACGCACTGCCACGGCAGAAAACGGCTTGGGTTTTTTATCAGATCTGGTGCAGTTGTGCACAACGTAACTACGTCGCAAAAACTAGAAGATTACTCCATACGCGAATGACCGAGCATGCAGCGGCGGTAAGG